AAAAATATAAATTATTTTTAAATGTACCAAAAAATTAATCAATTTAACAAATTAAAAAAAAACACTTAGCCACGTGATATTCATGTTGCAAATTGTGAAGTGAAAATCATGTCGCAACTTGCCACGTGAATATCACATCACAACTTTCTTACACACGTCTGCCACTTTATCTGCTACGCCTGCTGTGACTGAAACTATGTTTTATTTGTTGCGACGTGAAAATCACGTGACAAATTTGTGACGTAATTTTCACGTGGCAACAAAGTTGTCACACGTCTTCCTGCCACGTGAATAGTTTCGTCGCTAATACTAGTTTGTGAAGTGATTTTTCATGTTATGAAGTGAATTTTACGTGGTAAGATTCAGTTTTTTTTTGTAGTGTACATTTATACTTTACTTGTTTATTTATTTATTTTTGGTTGTTTATTTTTATTAGTTTATTTCAGCAAAGAGGTTATTAGAATAAATTAAATAGGAATGTCACTTTTTTCATGGTTACTATATTTTTCATTTCACTGTGGACAATAAATATGTTCAAATATTATTTTAAGTACAATACAGGCTAAGTTCTATATGTGCTAATAATGTCATGATGGTTGTAGTTGCGTGTTAGTGTATACAACTGTGTGTTGCATAATATGTAGCAGCGTGTTCTATATAGTGATGTGTGCATAATGGTGTGCTACTAAAATACTTGTTTGTTTTTGAAGAAAAATCAAGAAAAAAAATTATTTTAATTCTTTTTATATATTGTCATCTTTTATAATCAGCCTCAAGTAGGATATGGCTATATTAGTTTTAAAATTTTGCCGAGACCAATTAAATTAAAGATCTTTTATTTTGATTGATAATTGTTTATATATACAATATAAATTTATTATCTTTAAATTTTTGCCCAGGCTTCAAAACATTTCTGGTTTCGCCACTGCTTGTGCACTAAGATTGTCATTGTGTGGACGGTCTTGAGCGGTGATGGTAATTCTGGAGAAAATTACGGTGAACACGTGGCTCATGTGTGATCAGTGAGGATAGTGGAATTATTCTTGAATAATTATTATGTTGTGCATAATTTATGTCATGCATTCATGTCATGTTATGTGGAGACGAGCTAGGTGAGAATCCATGATGGGTGCCTAGTCTTGTCCAGACTATATGTGAGAGTCGTGTGGAGATAAGTTGTAGTTCAGAGGAACGTATACATCTTATCCGAATTTCGACATGAATCGGGTTCTAGGGTGAACTGTCTGTGATTGTGATGGTACCGCATGCATTGTGTCGTGTCTGTGAGTCGCATTGCATACTTATATATATATATATATATATATATATATATATATATATATATATATATATATATATATATATATATATATATATATATATATATATATATATATATATATATATATATATATATATATATATATATATATATATATATATATATATATATATATATATATATATATATATATATATATATATATATATATATATATATATTTGAATGTAGGTTGTTCATGTCGAATGATGATGTGACACTTGTATGTGCGTGAAGATTGTATGATTGGTGTGTTTTGTGAACTACTCCTTAACATGTGTTTTTTACCGTATATTTATTGAATGTAGTTGTCACCCCCTTTTTCTGTTTATTGTGTTTGTGCTCCTTGGGGAGTACAGATGATCAGGTACCTAAGTAGTGCTTGGAGCATTGTGTTGCTATTTGATCGAGTCTTAAGAGTCGCTCTGATACATAACACGGGAAGGATGGAGATTTCGTTATGTTTTCATGGTATTTGACTTTTTATTTGTTACGTATCTGGTTTTGATTCAATTATTGTGGAATCACGTATTATATGGGGAAATGACATATTTGGTGTTTACATGTTAAACCGTTTGATTTGATTCTGCTGATTATTCATACTACTTATTTTATGGAATAAATAAAATGTGAAGCACATTGATACTTCACTTTGACGTTGTGTATTAACTCTTATTTGATTCTGCATTATTTTCGTATTTTTCAATTATTATGTGAATGGGTAGAGTAAGGTGTTACACATATTATGAGAATAATATTCAATTTGAATAACAGAGAGAAACTCTGCAGAAATTCTTTTTCTTCCCCCATTTTGTAGCGATACAATCTAGCAATCAAAGTTGATTGATTCACTCGAGTGAAGAGTGAAGAACAATAAGAGAATTCAATCGGTTGATTGAATTTTGTTCATCAAGATTGATTCGGAATTACTCAAAGTCTTGGGTTTGATTCCAATATCTATATCTATAGCACTAGTCAAATGATTCGTGGTAAGAAAAACATGATGCAATGATGATGAATCATCTAAACGAATATTTTCTGGTGAGTCTCCCAATTCTGAAGGGCCTAAATTATGAGAATTGGCATCAACAAATGAAGGTAGTTTTCTGTTATCAAGATCTTTGGGATCTTATGAAGGAAACGGTAACACCAATTGCAGAAAACGCGTCAGATCAAGAAATAGATGCATACAAAGAATTGAAGAAGATAGATTATAAAGCTCTCTTTATAATTCATAAATATGTTGATCTAGACAATTTCGAAAAGGTTAGCGATGTAGAATCATTGAAAGAATCATGGGAAATCTTAGAGAAATCGTTTGGAGGCGCAAAGAAGGTTAAAGATGTGAGGTTAAAAACTCACAAAAGAACGCATGAATTGCTTCAGATGAAAGAAAGTGAAAGCATATAAGATTTTTCCACCAAGGTTACAAAACTGGTGAATCAAATCAAGGTACATGGATAAGTGTTGACATCAAGATCAGTTGCTGCAAATATCTTAAAGTCATTTGCTCAAAAGTTCGAGCACATGGTAGTAGCCATAGAAGATTCGAAAGATTTGTCAACATTGACAAAGGAAGAGCTTCAAGGGTCGCTTGAATCCCATGACCAAAGAATGGCTAAAAGAGTTGCAAGCAAGTCGAAGAGTGATGTGGTTTTGCATGTGCAATCAACAAGAGAAAAGAAAGACAAAGGGAAGTGGTTCAACAATAAAGATAGAATAGGCTACAACAATTTGACTAGTCGAAATCAGCAAGAAGGAGGTTGGTCGAATCAGAGAAGAACCTCATACCAAAGTAATCAAAGAGGTGGTGTTGTCGACAAAGAAAGAGGTAGTGGTCGAAAACTTGACAAAAGTTACATTTAATGTTTCAAATGTCAGAAGTATGATCACTACTCTAGTAATTATCCAGAAAAACAAAAGAGCCAAGAAAATGATGCAAAGCTAGCAAAACATGAAGAAGAAGAGATGTTGTTGATGGTCACAACAAGAGATGAAGAAAGATTTCAGGATCAATGGTACTTGGACTCAAGATGCTCATCATAAATGACTGGTAGAATGGATTGGTTTGTCAACATAAAATCCTCAATGAAGAACATGGTGAAATTGGCAAATAACAATACTCTATCAGTTGAAGGTATTAGTGATGATCTGCTTATAAGGAAAGATGACAAGAGGTCAATAATTTTCAATGTGTTGTACATATCACGCATGAAAAATAGTTTGCTTAGAATAGGCAGTTGGTAGAAAAGAACTACAAAGTGTCAATTGAAGACAAGATGATGAAAGTTCTCGACTCGGGTGGAAGGTTAATCTCGAAGGCTCCCATGTCTCAAATTAGAATCTTCAAGGTTGAACTTAATGTGATGAATGGATATGACATTATCGAGAAGGCCATCTCAATTTCTAATACACCACATATCTAAAGAGAAGAAATATGGTTTTAGGATTACCAGAAATCGACATTTCAAACGAAGTCTTAGAGGAATGTGTGCAGGCGAAGCAACACAAGAACAATTTCAACAAGGATGCAGGAAGCAAGTCGAAGGCAATTCTTCAAATCATACACTCTGATGTACGAAGGCATGGAAGTTGTTGAATAGCCTAGTGTGTGTGTGTGTGTGTGTGTGTGTGTGTGTGTGTGTATGTGTGTCGAAACACCTAGTTGTCGAAGTATCGAGTAGTTAGCCTCGACATGAATTTTTGTCTTAAACCTAATTTTGTAGTGTCGGTAGAATTAGGTATTTTAGGATTTTTGTTTTTAGGCTTTGCTTAGGGAGAAAACAAGCTAAACATATAAATAGAAAGTAACCCCATTTTTGTAAATACTTTTGAATGCAGTTGCATATTTTGAGAATAATATTCAGTTTGAATAGCATAGTGAAACTCTGCAGAAATTCTTTTTTTCCTCCTATTTTGTATTGAATCCTAAATTTTTTTTCTTCTCAATTCAATCTTCTTTTTTTGTTTTCATCACCATTGTGTAGCGATACAATCTTACAGTTAAGATTGGTTGATTCACTCGAGTGAAGAATAAGAAGAAAATTCAATCAATTAATTGAATCTTATTTATCAAAATTGATTTGGAATTACTCAAAATCTTAGAGTCCAATTCCAACATACATGATGGTATTATTTTGATAATAATTGACCAAGATCAATAGCTGGTATAAGAAGCACAATGGATTATTGATTTAGTTTTGAAACATTGGTTTTCTCTCGGTGTTCTAAGACCGAAAAAGAATTTGTAGCAGCTAATGCCACAGTTAATCAAACAATATGAATTAGAAGGAAAAAAAACTCGTTGATTTGCATATAAAGCGAAAGGAACCAACTTAGATTTTGGTTGATATTATATCTTCCAATATATCATTTTCATATTACCTTTATTTAATATTCCATTCCCAAAACAACATCAGACTTAAATCAAATGTTGTTTACTTCGTTGTAGGGTACAACAAAGATTTAACAAAAATTTCCAAATTTCATACTACTTTCACAATAATAAAAATTGCACTATCCTCCCTATGTATTAGAATACTTTATCTGATTCTTAATTGATCGCAATCAAATTTCTAAAATCTTAATAGTCTATATTATATAATAAAATAGACAATTAATATTAAAAATCGGATACGATGGATCAAAACTCAGGTAAACTATAATATACTTTTCTTTCTCATTCAATAAGAGAAAGCGACACAACCACATGAAAGAATTGGAGTTCCCTTAGAAGCTCCTCGGCATGCAATGCAGCCCGACGCTCGACTCTAAGGAAGAGCTCCTCGCTTAAGCTGTCGCCAATGTGAGCATCAACAAGGACTCCACACACAGTCCTACAGCTGTTGGCTAGAGCCTTACCTACTTCATTAGCATCATCTGGGTTGTTCAAAACAAGGGGACTCCCACCTTTGAATACCTCAAGCTTGTTTATCACAAATGAACCATTTTCTTTAATTACTTCCTTGAAGTCTTCCAAACTTGGTGCATAAAGTGGAATGTTAAAGTTATCTCGTTTTTCCGAGGTAATTAATCCCTGCCATCACCCATAATATGAATTAATTAGCGTTAATTTGAACCAGCTTCTCTCTGTATCTTATATCTGATGTCCTTACATAGCTACCAACTATTATATGCTTTAATAGTTGGAAGAACATAAATGTTCACAAAACACAAAGCATGTATAAAAATGTTTGTAATTATTATAAATATACCTCTTGGACAAGATCATCCCAAGCATCCTGAAAGTGTGTCCCAAAAAGAACACCAGCCCCACCTTGTTGTGTAGGGTCCTCTGATGTTCTTCCTAAACAAACTAAGAACATGGACCCTTCTTTCTTCATTTCCACTGACCTTGCACTCAAAAAGTTTGCCATATTTGCTTTGAATTGACTCTGGTAGGCATTGGCTGTGGCCTCATTAGCTCCATGGATGAACACCTTCCCTTTGTTGTATGCAATGGAGCTCTCATCCACTACACAATCTGGTATCTGCAAGGTTCTAAAATTATTAATATCGATGATACTAATAATAATTTTTAAGATCTTAATTATTAACATTTTCTTATAACTATCAACTGAGTTTTATATAATTATCAATTGAATTAACTTAATAAATTTCAATTAAAATATTGGGTAACGTTAACTTGTGCCCTTGGGGCATATGTTAAGAACTAAATTAAGAAATATTTTCTTAGAAATTGTGTATAAATTTTAATTAAAGTATAAAATTAATTTTTAAATCATTTTTTCCAATGCAAATTTATTATAAATGATTTTCTTAACATGTGCCCCAAAGACACAAGTTAACATTACCCTAAAATAAATAAATGGAGAGCAATAAATTTTTTTGAAAAAGTTAGTAACACTTTTGGTCCAGAGTAAATGCACTCCCAAAAAAGTTAGTGAAATTTAACATATAAGTGTTTTTCATAATTAAAAAATGTTATAAAGTCCAAGGTGCTTACGATGCATGCATTGAAAACTATACTGTTCAAACACGTTATTAAATTTTTTTTTTTTTGGGTACAATGTTCAAACACGTTATTGTTTCCATGAAACATGCTCCTTTTTTCAATTGACCCTGAATTTGTTTCATTCACTTTTTGACTACATATACATAAATAAGGACTTAAATAGCATTCAAAGTCATTTTTAGTTTATTTTTTTCTCAAGAATAAACTTTTGTACTCCTTTTGAGAAAATAAATAAATAATAATAATAATAATAAATTAATTTATTTCATTAAGCTAATTTAATTGTTAACTGCGCCCCATCCTGTACCTGCAACATTTCAATTCATCACTAAAAAAAATTTCATTTCAGTGACTAAACTAGTTAAATTATTAAACCAAAAGAAAACAAATAAATTTACCTTGGATAACCAATGCAAAGAGAAGGCAGAGTGAAAAACATCAACCGTCTTTGCCGGAAAAAGCCTTCGGTAAAAGGAACCGGGAACACCAGCGACAAAGTAAGACCTTTCCTTCTCGGTGGCTAAACATTGTTCCATGGTAACACCCTCTACATGTGGAGGAAGAAGCTGAAAGAGACTGTTGAAGTCATTGCTTGGTAGGTCACAGAAAAAGGCAGAAAATTCAGGTGGATTGTAACCTAAAGCTTCATAACGCTTAATGATGTGATCTATGATCACATTCATCATATTAATGGTGTTGCTTCCATATGAACACCCCAAATCAGCTGCCACAAAAGCCTTGTCATCACCATTACCAAGCTTAACTTGATCTAGGGTTTCTCTCAAAAAGTGAATCATGGATTTGGCATGTATGGCCTGCATGTATGTTAGCTTGAATTTTAATCAATGCTCTATAAAGCATGTACCGAAAATATGACACTGACACGATACAGATACATTTTAAATACTTATGTGAATGAATATGAATGATTACCTGTGCTTGAGAATTGTTAGCATAGCTAGCCTCTCCTTTGCCACCTTTCATGCTAAACAACTTCTCCAAGTCGGACTTAACAACAATTTCTTGCATAGGAGCCATAGCCATTGTTTTGGTGATGTGAGATTAATGAACGAAAGCATATACGTATGAGGGAGATATGAAAACTAAAGAGAGAAAAGGTGATATAAATAGTAGTGGAGGGGAAGGCTGTTTTTGTCTTTTTCTCTATTTCTATTTATTGTGTCATTGTATTTTTTTCTAAATTTGACTATTTTTAATAATATATTATTTTTATCTATTTGTTATAGGAAAATTATTCATGGATTTTGTATCATTACTTTGTATTTATTTATTTTATTTTATTACTTAATTTTTATTAGTTTGTGATTTTATTATTATTTGTACTTATCTCTACTATTTTTAGTTTGACTATTAGCTTCTAGTTATTTCAGTCAAAACATAAACTTTATTTATTCCCTCCTATTTTATATATAATAAATTTATAAGAAGAAACTATTCCTTAAAAAAAAAGTCTAAATACTTTAAGTTTTACTCTTTTTATTCCTACTTTTTGTCTTAGTTTAATCTATTTTATTATAGAAAACATTATTCATGAATCTTGTATCATTATTTTTATTTATTTATTTTTATTAATTTGTGATTTCATTATCATTTATACTTATCTCTACTATTGAATATATATATATATATATATATATATATATATATATATATATATATATATATATATATATATATATATATATATATATATATATATATATATATATATATATATATATATATATATATATATATATATATATATATATATATATATATATATATATATATATATATATATATATATATATATATATATATATGTGTGTGTGTGTGTGTGTGTGTGTTATTTATATGTATTTTTAAAATAAAATAGGTTAGATCGAAAAAACTGTAATTTTTTTTTAAATTATTTTAATAAAATCTCTAAAACATCTATTACAAAACTTACAAAAATTTATGTCAAAAAAATATTTAAGAGTGAAGACGTATTTTAATTCCTCACAAAAATTGAAGAGTCTAAATTAATTTCTAAGAAAAAAAATACATATTAAATCTCTAAGAAAAAAAGTGCATATTAAATCTCTTAAAAAATTTAATTAAACCATGTTAGTCCCTCTATTATAATATTTTTTTAAATTATTCTTTTTTCTTCTTTTGATCTGGGACTAGACTGTTTCATGTGTATTATTTTTGCTTATTTGAATTTATTATTTTTATTTTCAATTATTTTTAATTCACGTAACATTCATCTTTTAAATTTATTTTAATTTGTTTCAGTTATACACTGGAAAAAAAATAAAAATTTTGTACTAAGCAAAAGTTCAACCAATGGCCCCATGGTTTGTTGGCAACTTACTCTACCACTAAACCAACATATTTTATATGTTTTAATTTACAAATAACACTTAATATCAACACAATTTTTTTTATTTTTTAATTATTAGTAATACTTAATATATTTTGATCCATATTAAAAAAAAATACACTATTCAATCTCTTACAAAATTTAATTAGGTTTTAATCCATAAAAAAAATACACTATTTAATCCCTTAAAAAAATACACTATCTAAAAAATACACAGATGTTCAATCATATATTATAGCACCATTACATTAAAATCAATGAACTGGAACTAAAATTCTACATTACCATCACATATATTATAGATGTACCATTAAATTCAAAATATTATAGTACCATCAAAATCCAAAATATTGTACAAACAAATAGAACTCCAAAATCTAATACATCTAGTATCACCAAAATAAACAAAACAAACAAAATGCCATAAAATTGTAATACCATCTATTACAATTTAAAAAATCATTTGATAATTCTATCAAATCCAAAAGACAAAGTAAATAAAGTAGAAGGAAAAGTCAAGTTGATCGCCATTGTGTAAATCCAAGAATAGGTATGAATATAGGACTACCAAGTCTAATTTGTGGAGGTTTAGATGAACATGGTGTGAGATATGGTGTGAGATAGGTGTATTTTTAAGGGATTAAATAATGTATTTTTTTGTTATGGATCAAAATCTAATTAAGTTTTGTAAGGGATTAAATAGTATGTTTTTTTAATTAGGGATCAAAATGTATTAAGTATTGTTAATAATTAAAAAAATAATAAGAAATTGTGTTGATATAAGTATTATTTGTAACTTATAACATAAAATATGTTGGTTTAATGGCAAAGCAAGTTACCCACTAACCAAGGGGTTCTTGGTTCAACCTTTACTTGATGCAAATTTTTGATTTTCTTCCAGCTTTTTTTTATAATTAAATAAAATTAAAATAAATTAAAAGAATGAATATTAATAAAGGGTTTTAGTGTTCTAGGGTTTGAGTCTTTGTATTCTTATTGTTTATTGTAAACCTCTAAATAAGTCTAAGCTAAATATTCAAGGCATAGGGGTTGATTGTTAGTTAATTTGTAATTTAACATTTGTAATCTTTTGAAAGCATTTGTCACTAGGGTAGTGATTAAAAGAAAGAGAAAGTGGTTCTCATATTTAGGGAGAGTCCTAAATAGAAAGTTACTAATTGTATTAATACTATTGAGAGTGAATTTTCTTTCTTGGGTCAGAAACCCCCCAAATGTAGATGATGTTGCACTGAACTGGGTTAACAATTATTTTGTGTTCTTTATTGCTTTCTACATTATATTTCTTAGTTTATTTTAAATTGTTTTCTATGGTACACATCATCTTAGACATTGTCTCCAACATTTGTCCTGCGTAGAACAAAATTTTCACTTCTTCAAACTTATTGTATAGACACACCCCAGAAAAATGAGATACTTGAAAGAAAGCGAACACCTTCTAAAAGTAACTCAAGTTCTTCTTTTCCAATTCAATCTCCTAGCATTGTTTGTGCTTATGAATTTTCTCATATTATCTTTTTACTCATAGTATTTCCCTATAAAATTATAAACTTCAAATATCTTTTCAATTTAATTTTTAATGATAATCTTGACTACTCTTGTATTAAAAAATTTTACTGGTTAGTTTTCTCTTCTAATTATAAGAAAAACCATACCAAGTTTGACCTTATATATAGTAAATGTGTCTATTTAAGAAATAAACTAGGTGTCAAAGGATACATTTTATACGACCTTCACAATAATCAAATTTTCATATTTGAAAACACCAATTCTTTGAAACCATTTTTTCTTTCCCTGCTAATATACCTTTTGATAACAATACACCAACACCTTTATATAATCCATCTAATGATTATACCCAAGAATATTTAGAAATCAATTATACTAACTTCTTATCACAATTTTCATTATATAATAATCACAACAATCCCTACATTAAACCTTTTCATAACTCCCCCGACATCCACGACAAGCTTCATGCCCCTACCACCCCAATAAGAAATCCATGAGTTGCAAATAGATTTTGAATTAAAAAAACTCAGCAGATTTTTTTATAGAAAAGTAAAAGGTACACCTTGTTTGTAAGCTCAACCTATCTCTATATGGCCTAAAGTAGGCTGGTAGGAAATGAAACCAAAAGTTAACTTCGCATCATACCTTCTTAAATTAGGTTTTACTTTGTCTAAATATGATTACTCCTTATTCCCCAAGAAACATAAGTATTCTCTTACTATTATATTACTCTATGTTGATGATTTATTTCTTACATGAAATAACTTATCTAAAATTACCAATATCAAACTTGTCATGGACAAAACATTTAACATCAAAGATTTAGGTATCCTCGATTATTTTCTTGGTTTTAAGATTGATGGGTCTTCTCAAGACATATCTTTATGGCAAACAAAATACATTTTAGATCTCCTTCGGGAGTATAACATTTTAACAGCTAAATTGATATTAATTCCCATGGACCTTGGTCATAATTTACAGTCTGACATTGAAAAATCTCTCATTTGTCCAACAAAATACATAAGTTTAAACGGTAAGCTGCTTTATTTAACTCATTCACATCCTAACATTAGCTTTCCCAATTTGATATTAATCCAAATTTATACAGAGCCATTGCCAACTAATCTTGCAAAGAACGATGGCTTATCTAGCTCCTGGAAGACTTCTTCATCCCTCACAAATAATAAAGTTCCATTTTTGTGACAATATAAGTATCATACACATAATCACAAATCGAATCTTTCACACGAGAACCAAACACGTCAAAATGGATTGTCATTTAGCTCGTAACAAAGTTAAAGAATAGACTATTCACCTCATACCAATTTGTCATGCCCCAAGTTTTACCCCTTAGATATCATCATCATTTCCATGAGCATCATAGGTCAATCATCCTTGCATCACTAACCAAATCGTCAAGCTTTGTGGTTTTGTTTATTTTGTGGAATTAGGGTTTATGGAGAAAGGAGAAAGTCCTGATTAATCAAGAGTTAAGTGAGAAATCAACCAAGGAGGTCATCATACATCTCAAAGGTCTCTAAGATTTCATTTGGTCCAAAGAAATCAAATTCAAAAGCTTCCTAAGTGGATAGGAGAGGCATTGACTTCATCTGATTCGAAAGTCAACTGAGGCATCACAAATGTCAACTCTTGGGTTTTATGGTCAACCATGAACTTTACAAGTATTATTCTATGATCTCATGTGGGTGTATCATTAAAGTCAAGTTGAAACTATAAAATCAGGAGATTTGAAGAATTAGGGTTTTATGGTGAAGTCAAAAGGTTAACATTTAGAGTGATTTTTCAAGACCAAATTCAAGATAGTTCCAAGCATGATTTGTATTGGCCATAAACATAAAAGTTGTAGATCATCTCTTTAGATTTCTTTTGATACCAATAAATCCTAAATAGATTTTTTAGAACTCAAGTTATGATGTTTTCAAGTGGAGGTCAAAGTAGGGCAAAGTTAAGGGCAACATTTTTGCAAGAACTTCCAACCAAGTCTTCATGGGTTTCTTGACCTCAAATAAAAATTCATCCAACAATAAAGTTATTCCTATTGATATAAGTTTTCCAAGAATATAAAGAAGTCTTCAATTGGATCAAGGAGTGAATAGTTATGGCATCACAAAGTTTG